GATCTCAGCACAAAATAAAATCAGTAGGTAGGTAATACTATTTATTTTATACATTTTATACATTTTATTGATTAATTAAACATGACAGTTTTAACCACTTTATTCATGAAAAAAAAACAAATGTAACAATTATTTTTCTTTAATTTGAATTAAACGAATAAACATCTAAATTACCTACATGTCTATCATTAAACTTTATTTATTAACATGAATATTAAATGTGCAATTTTGTATGGTACAGTTGTTGATATTTAAAGCGCTGCTGGCTGTATTTTTTTCAAAGTTTACAGTTCTGTCGTTGAATACGTTACTTATAATAAGAATCTCAGTTTCAGTGTTAACAATTGTACCATTATTAACAGAAAAGTCTTCGATTAAATTATTTTCAGGATCAATATTTACAGTTTCGCTTGATGTACTTGGTTCATTATACTCTAATGGGTTTAATATTTTCATCGCTATCTGTTTCTTATTGTTTACAGAATCTTCAATGTATCCTTCAGCGACGCTGGTAGATTTCCATCCACCATGTCGCTTTAGGGTTGTAATGTCTCCACCATTATCAACTAAGATAGTTGCCGAGGTTCTTCTAAGGCAATGCCCCGTATATTCATGTGGATTTGGCAACCTTAAAAATGATGCAACATCTTTTGGCACTTTTGAAATTTTATGTATGCCCATTACAACACGATGACAATGGCCATTTTGATATTTAATAAAAAATCTATCAAAAGTTATGTCTTTTGGCCGAAGAGTAGCATATTTTCTGTATAAATTTAAATAAAACTCACCAATTATGGTAAATGAACGATGTTTTTTAGTTTTTGTATTGGGAATATTTACTAATATTATATTTCCCAAATCTTTTACTTCATTAACTTTTACTTGAATGAGTTCATCGCATCTACAAGCTCCTGTGACTCCAAATATTAGTGTAACCTAAAAAATATAGAATTATCAATTTTGTAACAATAAAAAAAGTTGGAAAATGCAAGGAAATTCTAAAACATGACGTAATTTTAAGACATCTATATTTATGAGTTTTTACAACATTCTTCCAATGAGCTATCTTTATTTCCGAAAATTGTTTATTATTCTCGTAATGGATACTATAAAATAACTTGAAGTTTACAAATTATAACAAAATTTTATATTACAAATATAAAAAGGTTAAATATATATCTACCTATAATTTAAAAAGTACATACCTTGGTTGCTAAATATTTATCATCAGGTGCTTTATTCAGGAATTCGTCAAATTCTTTTTTAGACAAAACTTTCGACTTTTTTGGTTTATAATTTTCACCTTGTCGTTTCAAAAATGTAATTAATTTTGAATATTTCTCAATATTTACATTGTGTTCTATGTTTAATTTAGATTTTACCATTGAATATTGCGCCCATAAAGTTGAACTTTTCAGTGTTCTGGATAATCTTGTAAAATATGCTATCATCACATTTTCTGAATAAATATGTGCATTATTTTCTTTTGCCCAATTTATGAATTTATCTTAAGCATATTCATAAATTTTTCTCGACTTTGTTGGTATAAGTGTTGCGCCACTGATGTATTTGCAATTTTCAGTAATTCTGGTGGTGTGCACTGCATTTCTTCAGACATTTTAAAAACGACCCGACGCGACATCAAATTTCAACTGACACTTAATGAAACGTCAAAGCTTCTTGAATCTTTAATTCGTTGCTAGGATACTTACCTACACATTGTTACATTTTTTTACTAGTTAAAAAATGAAAAATATTTGTACTAATTAAACAATAGGCTGCTTCTAAAGGAGGTGTTGCACTATATAATATAAGTATTATTATACGCTTGAAGAAAAAGTTATTTTATTCTACTAGTGGATAAAGTATCACTTTAGACGGTTCATATGTGTGCATAAAAGTCCGATTATAAGGTGATTGTGATAAACATAATTTAAATAAATTAAATAAATTTACACGTAATACATGGTAATATAGTGGTTTATCTTAATAGAATCAAGTTAAAGGTATATGAAATAGTTTTATGTTCTAAAACTATTAATTTACTCTGAATTAATTCCTCTTATTAATATATATTGACTGTCAGGACGAACTTGTAATAGAATTAAATCCTGAAACAAAATTATGCAAAGCTAAAATCGTAAATATAAACTTTTTCAAATCCTCGCTATTTGAAAAAGTCCTTGCTTGATAGTGATCACGATCCCTGATTTATATCCGACTTGTGGCAAAGCAGAAGGTTCCGGCCTAATTATTAAAAAAAAGAAAACGCGCTGAGTAATTTGGCACTCCTAATATATTGAACGTTATTTTTAGGTCGATGCCCACGATAATCGTATGTGTATATGTAATAAATAGTATGGGTACAAGGCGTTAACGTACTGTAACTCATTTGTTAAGTTATGCCTGCACCATTTTCTTTGATGCTTAGATAATTGCGCCGAACGACCGGCAATTAATCGGAGATGTTAAAAATATAATTAGAGTGAGATGCTAACGGAATCATATTTAAAACTATAACGTCTCTACATTACAAACCATAAGTCGGCACTATATTTTGTGATAAACAATACAGAATATTCTGTTGGAGAAATGCTTTAAAAAAATTCCGAAAACATTTGATACAGCATTCATGTCTGTATTAATCAGTCTATGGTTAGAAAATAACATGGAGATCTTTACCAAATAGTAACTAAAACTGGGAGATTGAAAAACACTTTAATCCTGCGCACTATTAACACTTTAGTTCAAAAATAAATAATGACTAAAATATATTCTAGTTCTAATAGTCTTTACAATCGCCAAGAGATTCATTTTAATCCCCCCGCTGGTTATTAACACTTTAGTTCAAAATTATCAACTATAAAAGCACTTGCTTTATCAACATTCAATATAATGGTTTTTAGTTTAATTTTAATAGGATTTTAACAATCATTAAAAATACACTGTAGTCGCGCTGCATGTTATTAACACTTTAGTCCAAAATATTGACTAAAGTAACAATTGCTTTATCTATAAAATCAGCACAATCATCACTAGTTCGAAAACACTGACTGAAGTAACACTTGTTTTAATAATGCACTTTAGTCGCCTGCGTTTAACATTTTAGTTCGAAAATACTGACTAAACTCATTTCAACAACAACGTCAGTTTAATGGTTTTTCTTTGATTTTAACAGAATTTTAACAATTACTTCAAAGTTTACAAATGCACTTTAGTTATCCTGTTCGTTATTAACACTTTAGTTTGAAAACACTGACTAAAGTAGCACTTGTATTAACAATACACTTTAGTCGTCCTCGTTTAATATTTTAGTTTGAAAATACTGACTAAGCTTATTTCAACAACAATGTCAGTCTAATAGTTTTAGTTTAATTTTAACTATTATCCCAAAGTTTAAAAATATACTTTAGTTATCCTGTGCATTATTAACACTTTAGTTCGAAAATAAATAATGACTAAAATAGCACTTTAGTATTAACAGGGTCTTCTTCTTCATTTTAGTCGTCCCGCTCGTTTATTAACACTTTAGTTCGAAATTACTGACTAAAGTAGCACTTGTTTTGTCAACGCCAGTATAATGGTTTTTAGATTAGTTTCAAGAGGATTTTAACAACCAATAAAAATACACTGTAATCGCGCCGCGTGTTATTAACACTTTAGTTCGAAAACACTGATTAAAGTAGCACTTGTTTTAACAATACACTTTAGTAGTCGACGTTTAACATTTTAGTTCGAATATACTGACTAAACTTGTCTCAACAACAATGTAAGTTTAATGGTTTTAGTTTAATTTTAAAAGGGTTTTAACAATTATCCCAAAGTTTTAACAACAAAGGCATAAAAACTATAAATACGAGTATATTTCAATAATTCTATCAAAATTTGCATTATTTGAGCCTTCATAATTTATTAAATAATTAGAGACAGGGAGAATTTACATTTTCGAATTCATTCTTTGATATTTATTTCGATCTGTAAGACAATAAAACAATTTATTTAAATTTTCTTTGTTCATTTTCAGTTTTTGTTATAAAAACTAATACGAACACAATAGAAAACTAGCCTTACAGATTGTACTCATAAATAACAAAAAAAAAATGTTAATTACGATCAATCAAAATCTTGCAACTACAATTTATTTTTGCTGCCAATTTATTGCAACGTGTACTAATTATTAATAAAAAATAATATATTTTCTAATTTGTACATCCTAAGCACCTAGCTTCCTGGCGAAGCCACATTTATTAGATTTTTTTCGTTTTGATGAGCAGTATATCTCTTTAATTTTTTATACGTACTTTAAGGCGGTCCGTATAAAAATATCTAAGCTAGAAAAAAAACTAAAGACTAATCAATTTTTTTCGATGCAAATTATAGTCAAATCATCGTCCAATTTTTTCTAATTAATCCGTACTTAATTACAAATAAGAATATAATTAATACAGAGTTGTGAATTCTTTAGGTCATGACTTAAACAACAGAGACGCACTCAGTCGGTAACTGCAAATAATTAAAGTTAAAAAAAAATTAAAAACTATTTTTTGTCACCCTCTTTAAACGGTTGTACCTTCACAAATAATGTTCAAATGATATTTTTTTATAGGAAAGACCCACCTTATTTTTCGACAGAGACCCCCTATTTTTTTATTTACTTCTTTTTTCCTACTTCTTTATTTACACCCTGTATATTTTTTTTATTATAAGATTTCAAACTAGGCAGATATAAGTTCGTTGAAACATAATTACTGACTAATCCTTGTGACAAAGAGATTTATTTGCTGCTCTCTTTTATATTTTAGATGTCGATTGTGACGTAATGTGACAGAATATCAAAAAAAAAAAGGAAGAAAAGCTACTAAAGAAATACCACAAATAAACACTTTCAGACAATAGTTTTAACTTCACGACAAAAATTATATCAACATACGAGTCCCACCCTGGAACGACCTAAAAAAGTCGCAGGTCTAATTAGTTGCGAAAATTACTTAACATACCTTTGTGTCTGGACCTGTTGAGGTGCCTAGGGCCCTCCTGCGCCGAGGTCGTGGTGGTTACGTTGAGCACGTTGTATTGCTGCTTGTTCTTGAAGGCACCTTGACTGAACTGCACCCACACCACCACGATGATAGCCCCCAGCACGACTATCGCGACACACGCCAACACGGACGTACACCTCCTGGCGAACTTGGTAGTCATTTTGCCTATACTCGCACTTACTATCACCCCAGCAACTGAAACCAAAACGATTCTCTAAGATACAGTTATACAAGTATGGTGTTAATGTTAAATGTATGAAGCGCACGTATCAGAAGTGTGAATCACTTTTAACGTACTTATTATAAGTGTGAAGCACTTTTAACGCACGTATTAAACATGTGTCACACTTTTAACGCATGTTTTAAAAGTGTGAAACACTTTTAACGCACGTATTAAAAATGTGTCACACTTTTAACGCATGTATTAAAAGTGTGACACTATTTTAACGCACATATTAAAAGTGTCACACACTTTTAACGCACATATTAAATAAGTCAGGAAAAATACTACTTAAAAGTAACATAGAAGTTCTAGTCTCTAGACAAGTACTTGTACCAAATTTTAAATTGATATCTCAAATCGTCAAAAAATTGTCGCTGAAACAAACAGGCATTATAGAATCGGAAAATTTTTTTCACTTTGTTATAATTGAAAGCAAATAATTAAGAAAAGTATAGGCACGAGAAACTTACGAGTTATTATCTCAAAAGCAATTTTTTTGAGTTGTAGCAGTATTCCAGCCGGCCTACGGAAATGAATTGAAAAACATTTTTGATGTAATGAAATCCCGAAAACAGGTAATTATATTTTTTACTTATTTTCTACTTTAACGACGAAGAAAACAAGTTGATTTTATTATAAATCGCGGTCTAAATATTGTGTACGGTTGTTTGTGCAAAACAACTGCAGTTCATCAGGGTTATTTCGATGAAATTGAAACAAAATATACATACAATCATTTAACGACTGGTGTTTCCGTCAGAACAAAATCAAAAATAATTTTTAAAAAATGATAATTCTTAGAAATGTTTGGTATCAAGATATGGAAAAACCAGCAATTTAAATTTGTAGTTTTATGAGACAAATTCATCATTAGAGATCGAAAATATTATGGCAATGTGATACAGGTTTGGCTGTAGGCCAGGTTCTGTTTTATGTAATTTTATTGAAACAAAAAGTGACACATACGTTTTATATCTGCACTCTACACATTATAAGAATATATATGTAAGTATTTGCATAATAGTATGAAATAAAAAGGAGCAGTGTTTATTTTCCTATACTAAACGCTTCACATGGATCTGAATAATGCTATTACATCTTTAGCATCCCCTACTTCACGTATTAATAATCTCACTATCCGCATCATTGTACGATAACATGTACGTACATGTCTGCCCTGATTTGAAGCTTCGCATCGATCAATTTATTCGGTCATTCTAATACCTGCCCTGTTGGCCTGGCATGCCGGTGACAAACGGCTTTTTCCATTTCATTGTCGTTTGTGAGTGAGTTTGACACTTTGCTTAGTCGAGTGTATGACACGTGTTTTTATGGCAGTCAGTAGCATTGTGTATTGTGAGCACAGAGCGGCAGACGGTTTGACCACAGATTTAGTTTCCGATGTCTACTCATCATTTTCTTTTATCGACATACAGAAAAACACTTTTTTTAATAAATAATGTTTTCTTGTTCGTTATAAATATACCTCCCTCAAAAAATATTATTATTACTGTCAAATTGTCAGAGATATATTGCTTCAGTGAATTTTTATTTTTATAATTTTTTTATAAATTTAAATTTAAGGTTAAATATAGAATATACCAAAAATTTATTAAGCTCTTAAAGGAAACTAAAAAATAAAAATATATATTCGAAGTTACCCAATATCAATTCCTTCATCATTTTCCACATTACACCACAATTTTTATACCAATATCTCACCGCTACACTGTACGAGTGACACTTCATTGCATGCGAACTCGCTAATAATGTGTTGTTATTTAAATAGAGTTTTAGTAATTTTCTTGTTAAATGTAGCAAAAAAATGCATTATCAACTGTTATTAATACGTGTTACACTTTCCAATGTGATTAATTGAAAACAAACATAAATTAATCAAAACATCATTAACTGATTGCATCGATCTATTTTTTTGTCTTAATTGATTTAAATATTGTTTTCTTTGGGACAAATGTCAACACAACACACTTGTTGCCAACACAGAAATATGAAAACGTGAGTAATGCTGTTAAGTGATGTACCGTGGTAATTTTACACTGACCTAGATCCTAGATTGTCAACAGTAGAAGACACATTTATTTATTAGACACTTTTATTTCGTTCAACACAAAACATCGAAGCTATTCGTGAGAGTGTTGCTGAGATTTCAGGAACATCAATTCGGCACCGTGGTCAAGAATTAGACATTTCGAGAAGCTCTCTACAGCGTATTCCCACGAAAGATCTGCATCTTGATGCTTGTGATCAATTGATTCAAGAACTGAAGCCTACTGACTACGTAAGAGCGAAGAGAGTTCGTTGAATGGATTATGGAACAAGTGGATGCTGATTTTTCGAACAAAATCATCTTCAGCGATGAGCCTCATTTTCAACTTCAATTTTTTTCAAACAATTTTTTTTTAATTTTTTTTATTTTTTTTTTATTTTTTTTTTTTTTCAAAAAAAATTAGTTCACATTTCATAGGAATGGCTCCTTTTCATTGTATTTTTCGTTAAATGTTGTAAATTGACTCGAAAATTGTTTTTAATAATATGACTATAGTTATAATATATATTTTAAATTTAGTGACTGTTTCAAAATGTTAACAATGTTTTTATATTTCTCGTTTTTTATGGTTTTTTAATTTAATCTTAGGTTATATGTCCTGAGAAAGGAAATAAACATTTCCGAACGCTTGACAACAAACACAGAGTGTCCTTATTATACTAGCCCTTAGCACTGTTGACTGCAACCCCAAATACAACACCGTTTTTTTTATTATTTTTTTATATACAGGGTGGGCCATGAGTGTGAGAATGTAAAATAATTCCCTTGTTATTCATAGTACAGAAAAAAAGTTTATATAAAAGTTGTACAGAATTAAGAAACCTAAACGACAAAATTAATTTGAAACATACAGGTCGACGAGTAAAACGGGGCACGGCAAATATCACATTTTTTAAATGGAACACCCTGTTTGTTTTTAAACATATGAATTTCTGATAAAATTCTATATATGGCAATATAAACAGTTTAACATCTTAGTGCGGGGTTGCCAAATTATGTAGATAATTCTGACCTCGAAAAAGTTGTATTAACTTTCAATTACTAACGCTTGGAGCAAAAGTATTTGACAAAGTTGTAGGAAAATGTTAGACAAAGACTGCTATATTAGCTAATATCGATATTTTATACAGGGCATTTTTTATAATACGATAATTTTTAGAAAGTTCAAACTTGATTTTCTAAAATTTTTCAAATGGAACAGATAGTATTTTATTGTTCTATTTTATTCACTTATCGGTCCACTTTTATTAAGTATGTTCTACACCTAAAGTTTTATTTTTTAAGATATAGCAATATTTCTGAAAAAAACTATTTTTTTATTAATTTCGGTCGCACGAGATGGCTTGCCTTGCTTGTGTCAACTTGCCAGTTCATAATTTATCATTCCAGTTTAAGTTCATTTTATTAGTTAATATTTATTTGTTGGTATTCTAAAAAATAATAAAAATTAAGTTTTTTCAGAAATGCTGTTATATTTTAAAAATTAACAACTAATAGAACATGCTTAATAAAAGTTGAGGTGGGCCGATATGTGAATAAAATAGAACAATAAAATAGAGAAAGTTCTATTTGAAAAATTTAAGAAAATCAAGTTTGAACTTTCTACAAATGATCGTATTATAAAAAATGTCCTGTATAAAATATCGATATTAGCTAATATATGAGTCTTTGTCTACTATTTACCTATAACTATGTCTATTATTATTATTTTGTTCCTAGTGTTAGTAGTTGAAAGTTTATACAACTTCTTGGAGGTCATGTTTTTTCCAAAATTCGAATATTCTCAGAAATCTGTATGTTTAAAAATATACAGGGCTGCTCCATTTAAAAAATTTAATATTCGTCGTATCCCATTTTTACTAATCGCCCTGTATGTTTCAAATTAATTTTGTAGTTTAGGTTTCTTGATTCTGTACAATTTATATACAAACTTTTTAATCTGTATTATGAGTAACAAGGGAATTATTTTACTCTCTCACACTAATGGCCCACCCTGTATAATTTCATAGCATTCCCTTGCTGTGTCCTGTGCGCACGTATGGGCGGAGCTATCTCAGACTCGGTCTGTATATTGTAGATTTACACTTAAGCGACTAGCCGCTAATCGCTATTAATGGCCGTTGTTGACACTGCCAACTCAGCAACATAATAAGACACGACATAACTTCAAACTTAAATTAAAATTATTAATTCCGAGTCATCTAGTGCAAACCTCACTTTAACATTATTGTGAAGAATTTCAGTGAACATGACAAACAAAAAAGTAATTACGCTGTTTATTGAACATATTTTACAAGTAATGTATGTTTATAAATCAATTTTCTATATAATTTCACTTATTTAATACACTTTGACTCCTACTCCGCTGACCTAGCGGTTAACTATCAAAGGGCACGCGCTACTGTTCGATAATCGGTGCCATTGAACACATTTTATCTATCAGCACAAGTAAAACTATCTCACAATATTGAAAAACTTTCCAAGAAACTAGTATCTCCGCAGCTGTCTAGGTCAAGGCAGGCCTTAGACGTCGAACACAATGGCCACTACGCATCTCCTTTCCAAATAGATTCTACATTTTAAGTTTGTACATAAAAAGTCAATCCGGCGACCTTACAAGGACACTTCTATTGGTGTAATACATTAACCGCCAGACGCGATGTTTACCCAACATTGTTTGTATTACTGTTTAGCAAGCCATAGGAAGACAAAATGTTGATAGGTATGTTTGATAATCGGCTGAAATAACATTTAGCATTGTACAGTTACCGCAGTCGTTTTTAAACAGTTTGTAGGTCAACGAATTTGTAAGATTAAAAGCGAATTACTTTGTGTGGAAGTGTGACGGTGTATTATTATTAGAGATCGGATATGTTACGGTTGGCTCCAGGCTGAGTTGTCTTT